TCAGACGTGTGCTCTTCCGATCTCCCCAAAACCCCAAAACCCCATGAGTGCAAGTGCAGAACGAGTATAGTAAAACTAAATGAGGTTTGAGTAATAATATTTTAAGATGAATATTAACTCAGAAAATAATGGATAAGCTTCAGAGACTGCAGCTTCCAGTCCTCAAAAGAATTCTAACAATGTCGGCCACTACTCACTCTGTAAATTATTGAGAAATTATACTCTTAGGTACTTCCGTTGGAGAGGGGACTTTCGGCAAAGTCAAACTTGGAAAGCACATTTTAACTGGAGAGAAGGTAAAGTTTGATATTTGAAATGCTAATTTGAAATAGGTTGCTGTTAAAATACTTGAAAAGGATAGAATATCTGATATGGCTGATGTGGAGAGAGTAGCAAGGGAAATTCATATTTTGAAGATGATCCGACACCCAAATATAATTTAGCTTTACGAGATTATTGAGACTTCTGGCTAGCTTTATTTGATAATGGAGTATGCTAGCGGGGGTGAATTATTCGATTACATCGTAGCTAAGGGCAGAGTTAAAGAATAAGAAGCTTGCAAATTTTTCTAGTAAATAATTGATGGTGTAGAGTACTTGCATAAGCTAAATGTAGCTCACAGAGACCTCAAGCCTGAAAATCTCTTGCTAGATCAAAATAAAAACATCAAAATCGTCGACTTCGGACTATCTAATACTTACAAAGTGGGCGAGACATTGCAAACTGCTTGTGGAAGTCCTTGCTATGCAGCCCCGGAGATGATTGCTGGACAGCGTTACGTTGGCTCTAACGTCGACATATGGTCTTGTGGTGTTATAATGTTCGCTCTGATATGTGGCTATCTGCCGTTTGAGGACCCAAATACAGCCAATCTGTATCAGAAAATATTGAAAGGCGACTTTTAGATACCACGATTCGTATCCAAAGAAGCTGCTGACCTCATGCGTCATATCCTCTGCACAGATCCTGAGTAGCGTTACAAAATTGACGACATCAGGCGACACAGATGGTACAACTAAGGTCAGCCTCAGGAGATCATAGAGATGGCAATGGCTAAGCAAGGTTTGATCATTGGTGTTAACTCAATTCCAGTCAACAAAAAAATCCTTAGCATTCTTGAGGAGAAATATAATTTCCGAAGAGATATCGCCAAGAAGTGTCTGCTTAAAAATAAGCACAATCACATCACAACAACTTATTACTTGCTCTATCAAAAATATGAGCGTTTAGGTATGCTCTCAAAAGAAGACGAACTAGATCTCTTAAGTGATGAGGATCTTGATTATCCAATTCACTCCAAGAAGATGTCACCAAATGCCCAACAGTAAACTTCCACTTTGCAGAATTCTGAACAAAAATCATCGATTCCCGATATCAGTCCAAATGCTAAGCTGAGTTAAACTTAGAGAATTGATGTTCAGGAGAGATCTTTGGTAGGTCCATCTCCAAATGTAGCTAATTCTTAGGAAAGACCTATTCAAAGCAAGCTGAATTAGATTTCATCTCAAAATCAGAGCAATAATAATCAAGTTCACCAATTAGAGCCATCGATACATCAAAAGCTAATGGATCAAGAACTAAACACTGATAGAGGCAGTAGTACAATTCCACTGGTTAACAAAAAGATTTCAACCTCATCAACTGGAGGTTCTCAAGAGCGCCCGGTTAAATATCATATCAAGAATGCTCCTCCAGTCAACCCACAAAAATAAAATAATGTGGTGAGAATCAATCCTACTTAGCAAAACAATCCTGTAAAGAGACCTCCAGTAGATCCATCAACTAGTGCTGAGAGATCAAAGAATTAGATTTTCTTGGATAATTCGAGGGCTGAATAGCAAGCTGGCTTTAATATCAGTTACGAAAACTCATTCAGTGCTATCAAGAGAGATATCATGAAGGAAACCGTAGATAAAAAGAAAGCTAAACTTGCGATTAATTTATAGTTTGACCCGATTGATGAAAAACCAGGCGTCCAAACCACCAGATAAAAGCATGGCAGCAATACCTCTAAAGTTAGTGGCAATAATAAAAGCAAAGATACCTAATCTATCAATGAGTACTTGAGCAAAGCCAATCCTAATTAATTTAAGAACCATAATAATAATGCTAACTCCTCTGTTTCCAGTAGTACAGCAACATCACTCAGGCCTAAAACCTAGTAAATTAAGAAAAACAACATAAATATAAGCACTGGCCATAATACCAGTGTGCAGTAGACATCGAATAATGTGTAAAAGTTCCTATCTACTCTAGACTACAACTCCAACTAGTCGAATTCGGCTAGAGTCTAAAGCAATAGCAGTCAGAAGGCTCAAATATCAATTCACAAGAAAGGAGCTAGCATAATTTCAAATAACAGTAATAATCAGACGCCACTAAATAACACGATGTAATTTAACCCATTGAATTCTATGATCACTAATAACAATAATAACTCAATGATCTCAAATGGAAACAAAAATTCTACTATTAAGCCACCTTAGAATAAAGGTAATTAAGGTATAATGAATCCTAAGGCTACTGGAATTAAGACCACCTCTGTAAGTATAGTAGGAGGAGGGATTCCTAAGCCTTAGTCAGTAGTAAAGAATTATGTTTCAGCTACACCAAAATCTAAGATTAGCATTTCTGCTTCTTTGAAGAATAAGACTATTGTATCAAAGAGTCCAATGAGATAGACCTAGTAAATTATTCTTCAAACAAGTCACAACTCTGCAAGGACCCAAGTTAATAATAATAGTCCAATTAGTGCTAACAATGAACTTAGAAAAACCCAAAACTAATCATCTAGAGGAAATCAATAGTTTGCAGGCTAGAATACAAATAATGCTGATTTGAAATCAAGTGTGAACTCACAATAAGGAGGAATGCGAGTATCAAAGGGAGCATTCAATGTGAATTGCTCAACCACAAGAGAGCCGTCCTAAATCATGACTGAAATGTTTAGATCCCTTGAGATTCACTAAGTTCAATATAAATAAGTAAGTTATCTCATTCTCATTAAGCTAATCTATAGTTAAATACCTACGGCTTAAGATGCTCTAGAAATGATGTAAAGTTTGAAATAGAATTGACATAATATGAAGGTGCTGACTTCATCTATATAGTTAAATTTAGGAAGGTGGGGAGTACCAACGAGACTCAGGCTTTCAGAGATCTTTGTCAAAAAGTGCTCAACAGCATGAATCTATGATTTAATAATGGTTATTTACAATTACTTTATGAGAATTCTAACTACTAAAATTTAAGTCTCAAATATCCTGTAATCTGCCAGCTATGGGGTTTTGGGGTTTTGGGGAGATCGGAAGAGCACACGTCTGA